GACTTGTGAATAGTTCTCAAATACACTCGGTTTGTGTCACTGAGGTTTTTTGACTGTTCTCTCGCAAATCCCCTCTGAATTCTTCATATTTGATTGGGCGCTGTTCGGCTCAGAGGGTGCACTCGCACGTTCGCTAGTTTCTTTTATTAGACCATGAATTGACAAGTCCGAAACTGTTCGAGTGAGCCACTTCAGTCACAGGAATTTACAGGTCTCACTTGGTGCCCCCAACCAAGCCAAACTGCGCCCAATCAAATATGAACAATTCAGAGGGGATTTTCTAGAGAACAGTCAAAAAACCTCAGTGACACAAACCGAGTGTATCGGAGAACTATTCACAAGTCATTTTCAGTGCTGGCTCGTTTTTATGATCATCTTGCTCAATGGTATCGGTGTGTTGTTCCCATGGAACATGTTCATCACTATCGCGCCAAATGTGAGGTTCATCATCCGTATTTTCCCTTTGACACTTGTTTTTTCTGAGTTCCGAGCAGACCGAAATCTCTTTCGCTGCAGGAGGCGACGGCCAACCGATACAAGCCAACTAATACTTCCTTGTTACTCTACTTCAGCGCCTATACCAAGTTATCTGATTCCGTAAGGACCGAAGCCTTGATTGGCGTGGGCGGCAGTCGGTCCGAAACTCGAACCCCGGTCGTACACGTGCTAAGCAACACCACCTCTGCCCATTGAAGTATAACTCACCAAGTCTTATCAACAGCGCCGAATTATCAACGGATTAACACCTGATGAACTAACGGGAACATGAGACAGCAGTCGAAGGTGAACTTCGCCCGACTGACAATGAGTGGGTGTTTCAAGGGAAAGTGCCTTCAGTTCTTATTGATTAACCCTCGAAGATTCCAAAACACCTCCTATCTGGGCCTTTGACGGTTTTTGTGACGCTTTGCAGTAGACAGAGACGCGTAATCGTGAGGCAAGATAATGAGGCCACACCTTTCACTGTCTTTTCACGCTACTTGGATCTGGGCCAAATAGAGTTCCCTATCTCCTGTACTATTCTCTGGAGCACTTCGAGACATGAGGCTTGTCCCAACTTCACCTCTTAAAACTCGGCCGACCGAAGCGTAGCCTAAAGGGCAATGCCTTTTCTCGGCCCTGTCTCAGTACTAGGTTCAGCGCATATGAACCGAGTTCACTCGGGAAACGCGAACAGCTGATGTCGTATATAATTTTGCCTTCTGAGAATTTCCCTTTATTATGCCGATATTCTAAACTCGACCCCGAAAGGATTTATCGATTGCGCAAACAAACACTGTTTATCTTCTACTGCGTTACTTTTTTGAATTCAGGCTCGATCTTCGTCGGAAGTTGTTTCTGTGAGTGGACCTGATTCTAGGGTCTAGAAATAGTCTGCCTCCCCCCCCTCAACACGAATATCTCGTTTTTTAGCGAGAAAGCATCCGGCGTCCGCGGTGACGTAGCAACAATGGTTGAGCTAACGTCGAAAGCGTATCCAAATTTGGGCCGAGAAAAATTTACTTTGATGGTGGAGCTTTCTTGTTTCACGGCCAGTAATGGGCGCGGGGAGGGGGGGGGGTGTT